TGTCATAGCATAGAAGAAATTGCATACTATCAATATATGAAAAAAAAGGAAGATGACAAATTTCCTTGGGGAATTTTAAATTCCGTTCAAAATTTAATAAAACATTTGGTTAGGAAGAAAGTAATTAGACTTTCTAAAATTTAATTAACCAATGCAACACTAATATTTTATTTAATAAAAATTGGAAGTATTGCCCTAAGGCAGATCCGTGAGCTGAATTAAACTCCAACTCGATTCAGGAAAGAATAGTGTGACATTTGTATTGCCCATTCATACCGCAGTGCTCGAAATCGGCTATTTTCAATTGGAAACATTTTTTATGTATATTTTTAAGTGAAAATGGACATCGCTACTGCACGATGTCAAGTTATCGAGAGCGTGGTTCGAACTCTCGTGAGCTTAACGAATACGCCATAGAACACCCAATATGTTATATATATAGCGTTAAAATTTTATTTTAAATTAAAAGTAAAAGTATTTGAAGTGATCCATACTTATTAATGGAAAGCATCAGTATTTAAAATAATTTTATTGTATCAATTTTCATTTAACTTGATAACGGAAAAAATAATACATTGTTAGATAATCATTTTTATAATTATTTACATGTTCATATAAAAATATAACTAGTGGTGTATTGCATCGTGCCTTGAGGTAAAATGTTGGAGCTTCACGTACCGAATTAAAATTTTGAAAACCTGAATTATTTTCAATATTCAAAAAAAAATTTGGAATTTTTGTTTTCCAAAAAAAATAGTTTCGTCAACACAAGCAGAAGGTTTTGAATCATTCAAATCGGATGCTCCGTTCTCTAAAAACTTCATTTCTATTTTCTGCGCTCTTTGCACCGTAACTCCAAAACGACTGGACCGACCTTTGCCAAAAACTAATCAGCACATCTCCCTACCAATAGCAATGGAATGTTTTTTTTGAACTATTGAATTCGGTTGATCCGTGCGCTCAGAAACGTGGACAAAAAATTGTATCCATACATACATACACACATTCATTTTTTCTAATGTATGCCGAAAATGTTCAGAAACCTCTGAAACGAGAAGATATGCAAAAATTTTCGATTTCGATTTTTGGACGATTACAATAACTTACCCTAAGAGAGTTAATACCAAACAACTGTATTATATAATAAATAATATTATTGTATTATGCAGTATAATAAATAAGGTGTAATGAAACACCTATCATCGGTGTAATGAAACACTTCATCCGATATTATATACATCGTCAATTGCAGTTTGCAATAATTGATTATTATCAATGTATGTATGCATCAATGTATTAATGAATTTAAAGACGATGAAATTTGAATCATTTCCATTATCATGTTTGTATTGAATTTAATATTGTTCAGAAGTGTTGATCGATACAATAAAAATAGTAGTAGTGGCAAATTTTCAATCCACGAAGCGTTCGTCTACAGTTGTGTGTACAGGTGTGTCCACATCAAGTAACGGATTATTTAGAATAATTTTATATTCCGTTCTTGGCATATCGGACTTACACATTTTTTGATCAACATGGAAAAAAAATAATTATACTAACAAACCGAATACCTAAACTAGTGGTGTATGACATCGTGCCTTAAGGCACATTGCTGGAATTTCCCGTAACAAAAATTAAAGTTTTTAAAAAAGATTCAATTTTTAGAATATCCCTAAAAATAGATTTTTGAAATTTTTAAAATTTATCAAAAAAATTGACCTTTTGGAAAAATTCGATTTTTTCATACTTTGAAATTTTGAAAATTTTGAACTTTTTTTTTCAAAGCAAACGCAAGACGTTAGCCGCGTAAAAATGAACCAATAGAATTTTTAAAGGTATATAAAATAACGATGTTACATTAATTTATTTTTGTAAATCTAATTACTTCATTTCTTCGTAAATGGTCAAGACTAACCATGGCATGATTTACAAAAATCATGTTTATAAAAATCTAGTATGTTAAAATAATAGTAACTAATGATAATATACAAATATTACACACAAAATTAATAACGCAATTCTAAACTATGTCCTGATCGACTCATAGGTGTAATTGTAACTTCAATTTTGCTAAATATTGTTTTTTTTTTTAAACACGTCCAATATAAAACACTTTTTCTGTAATATATATCAAAGTACTGTATTTTTTTTTCAACATATTATTTATAACATCGACATTTAATGTAGTTTTTGGCGACTATAGGAAAAATTGACTATATATAAATAGTTTTTTTTGTAAAGTATATATTGGGTATACAACTTATGTAACAATCCATCTTTATGTAATATTCATTTTATATAACGAAATGTTTTTTGAACTTGAACAAAAAATTAATACAAAGATTTCCAACCAACACAAGAAATTAAATAAAATAAACATAATAAGAAAAATTATATAAAATATAACTATTTTAACAGTAAAATATTCAATTTATTTTGGAATCTGAAAATAAATATTAAAGCGATTATTTAAACAATTTATAATGAAATTTATATATTTTTATATTTTAATTGGAAAACATTGAATACTAATTGCACTGGATTAATGTGGTGATCATAGTATATCATTGATCACTTTAAATACTCTTAATAAATAATAATTAATGTTGAATTTTCTTTATTTCATAGACAAAACTAAACTAATCAAATCATATTTTTCAATTTATTTGCACATAAATTAACATTTTTGTATACATACAAAATTAATGCGTCTGTGTTTTGAATTGAAAGAAATTTGATGCAGAAAAAAGCGGTTCTTCAAATTTCAAGAATTAATTCAACGAGTGATCCAATAATTTAATCAACTAAATGTAACACGCTGTTCGCCACGATAATGTAAAAAAATCACATTGGCTATGGTAAATTTTAGATAATTTAGTTAAGAAAGTATCAAGAGAACTTAATGCATAAAACAAACATTTTTTTTGAAAAATTGTATTTTTCATGGGGCCTACAATAAAAATTTTCTCGATCTAACATGACTCATGTAGAACTTCTTAACGTCAGACACCTGGGACTGACATGGCGATTAACGTGTTAAATAATATTTAAATTATTGAAATAATATAAATTAAATGTTCATTGAATATAATGTATTATTGACAACAGACAGAATAAAACACACAATAAAACAAATAATTTCAAATTGTACAGATGAACAAGGAGTGCCTGCATGAATGAAGTTTCGTTGCAATAATAATATTGCATAATAATTTCCTATCAATTGCCTATGCAGACAATTGCAAGACAAGACGAAAGTAGCAAAAAAATATATATCTAATATATTTATATATAAATATAAAAATTATCTGATCTTTTACCAAACGTACATGCATCTAAATGCAGTTTTATAATTAAAATTGCAAACAAAATTTTAAACTATTTTACCAAAAACTTGTCTTGGCGATTTAATACTGTATGACACTACGAACTGCATTAAATATATATTTATTACTTGAAGTCAATTAAGAAGTTAATCAGTTAAGTTAAAATGCTAAATCGGTGCATTTTTTATTCGGAATTTTGATATATTTAACTTCCCGTAGGGTAAGTCATAGTAATCGCAAAATAATCGAAGATAATTTTTTTTATATATCTACGTTTTAGAGGTTTCGGGAATATTAACATGGTTCAACCGATTTCAATTATTCAAAAAACATTCGATTCCTATTGATGAGAAAACGTGCTGATTAGTTTTTGATGGAGACAGGTCTAGCCGTTTCGAAGATACGGGGCAAAATTGCCGAAAACGGTAATTCAGTTTTTCAAAGAACTGATTACCCGATTTGAATGATTCAAAAAACATTTTACTTGTATTGACAAAATGAAGATTTGATGAAGTTTTTAGTAAGGCAGGTCTAGCGGTTTTGGAGATACAGAAAAAAAAGTAAAATAAAATTGATATTTGGCGGTTAAAAATGATCATTAGACAAATGCGCATCAAATTATCAGATATTTGATCAAATTTTAAAAATGAGTACTAATTTTGTTACAATTTTGTTGGGTACCGTACCAAGATTGTTATTTTTTAAAGTTTATTTTTTATACGATTTTCAAAAATGCAAAGGCAAATTTCAAAATTTTCAGAAAAATTTCTTTTTCAAAATTTTCAAAAATATATAGTTTTATACTTTATAAATGAATTTTATATCTACAATTCAGTTTGAAAATGTATATATTTTAATTGCGTTATTCTCATTGTAAGAAATACATCCTCAGATGGCTTTATTCGGCATCTTATAGTAATGTAAACTTTCTCAAGTGTTTTGAGTGGTAAGATCGTCCCTGTATATTTTATGAACGATGAAATATACAATGATTTTTATTATCTATTTGAAAATGTTTAAAACAATTGTTATTAATTATTGATCAATATTAATTGATGAATGATTTGTTTCCCTTAAATATTTAATTCTGGTAAGGGAAGTTCCAGCAATTTGCCTTAAGGCATGATGCCATGCATTACTAGTTTCGAACTTATTTTATGTAATAGTTATTTTTGTTACTGTCCCATTTAGTCTATGAAAATAAAAAAATCTTGCGTTAGATTCTTTTTGTTTATCTAAAAATAAATATGTCGCGCGCTATGCGTTTGCACTCAACTGCAGTACTATTTTGTAAAATTCATATAGAATTATTTTTTATTTAAACAATTTAGGCACTTAAATGAAATAATACATTAAATTCTATCATCATTGTCATTTATTTATAACAGTACTCTTTAAATGAACTGTAAACGAGAAAAACGAAGTCACTGTTTACGAGTGACATTTCAGAATAGATGCAATTTCATTGGCGGCAATGTACGAGAAATATGTCAAAGTAAATAATAGCAATAAACAAATTACCTATATTATAGTAAATTATTCAGAAATAAGTGCACATACAAGTAATTCGATGCCTTTCAAAATAGCATATACAAATAATTCGATCATCTAATATCAAACACAACAATTCAAACAATAATTACAAACAATATAAACAAATTAATGGTCATTTACCTTAAGTGTTTTCTTATGACAGCCTACCAAAATTTGGTAATTAAAATGATGTCCCAGGTTCACAGCCACTTAAAAGCACATGGCAATTGAATTAAACGAAACTAAATAAAATAATTCGACCGAAAATTGTTGTTTGAGACAACGTTCCTCTCAGGACCCCGGCCGAAGAACTGAACAACGTGGTCTGAATTTACTATAAATTTTTATGTCGTACGATGCATGGCGGAAGTAGGGGAACCAGTGATGGTACAACTAGGTTGAAAGCCTATTTAACGGAAAGTTTGAGAACAATTTTAAAACATAGAAATGATATGAATGATTTAATATGAATCAGGGTTTGTGTAATTATGATATTGTATTTTAAGTTGATATTTGAAATTTGAGACAATATTAGTTTCAGTTTTTTTAAATTTAAACTAGTGGGGTGCATAACATCGTGCCTTAAGGCAAATTGCTGGAACTTCCCGTACCAAAAATTATTATTTTTGTAAAATCGATTAACATTTTTGAAAAAAAATTACTTTGAAAAAATTAGATTTTTGAGAAACTATAAATTTGACAAAAAATTACTTTTTTTGAAAAGATTTTGAGATCTACTTTTTTCAGTAGATTTCGAAAACCGCTAGACCTGCCTTCATGAAAATTTGATCAATTCTTCATCTTGTCAATACAAGTAAAATGCTTTTCGAATGATTAAAATCGGATGCTCCGATCTCTTAAAAACTGAGTTACTATTTTTGGCACTTTTTGCCCCGTATCTTCGGAACGGCTAGACCTGCCTTCGCCAAAAAATAATCAGCACGTCTCCTTATCAATACGAATCGAATGTTTTTTGAATTATTCAAATCGGTTGATCGGTGTTCCCGAAATCGTCGACGATAATTTGTATCTGTACACACATACACACACGAACACACACACATACATCCATTTTTTTTAAGGTATGCCAAAATATTCAGAAACCTCTGAAACGTGAAGATATATAAAAATTTTCATTTTCGATTTTTTTGCGATTACTATAACTTTCCCTACGGGAAGTTAAAGATTAAAAACACAGAAACTCTAATGCAGTCTCAAATTTCAAAATAGAATTTCATAATTTTATATACACACTTTATTACTAATTGTTGTTATCATTTCCCTATTAAAAATAAAAAAAAACTGAAACTTAAAAATATTTAAAGTAAATAATAAAAAACAGATACTATATTACTCAAGTTTTAAAATGAAATTTCATAATTTTAAATACACTCTTTATTTAAAATTATTTTTATCATTCCTCTATAAAAAATGAAAAAAAACTGAAACTTAAAAATATTTAAAGTAAATAGTGCAATTTAAAAAAAAACAGAAACTAAAAATATTGTCTAAAATTTTAAAATGGAATTTCATTATTTCATATACTTTATTTCAAATAACTTTCCTCGTTCCTCTATCAAAAATGAAAAAAAACTGAAACATGAAAATATTTAAAGTAAATAATGCAATTAAAAAACAGAAACAATAATTTTTTCTAATTATTGTTTCAAATTTCCAAATAGAATTTCATAATTTTATATACACACTTTACTTCAAATTATTATTACCATTCTTCTATTAAAAATGAGAAAAAACTGAAACTGTAAAATATTTTAAGTAAATAACGTGTACGTATATATAATTATAAAATATGCATTTTGATATCGATATTTGATATTTGAGGCGAGGATCATAGTTTTAGTTTTTTCATATATATAAAGTGATAAAAATAGTTTTAAATACTGTGTGTATAAATAATTACGAAATTAATATTTGAAATTTGAGTCACTACCACAGTTTCAGTTTTTTTAATTTTAACAATAATTAGAAAAAATTAAAAGTGTGTATATATAATTATGAAATAGTATTCTTAAATTGATATTCGATTTTTGACACTTTAATATACTCTTACTTTTAAAATTTTTCAAAATATTTACAGAAATGATAAAAGTAAGTTAAAATCAAGTGCGTTATAGAATTGCATATTGAAATTTGAGATATTATCATAGTTTCAGTTTTTTTATATTTAAAATTAATTAGAGCATTCAAAATAAAGTGTGAGTATATATAATTATAAATTTGCATTTTGGAATTGAACTGAAATTTGAGATAATATCACAGTTTCAAGTTTTTAATTTTTAAAATGAATTAGAGAAATAATAACTATAATGTAAAAAACCGTGTGTATATATATAATTATGAAATTGATATTTAATATTTGAAAAAATATCATAGCATCAGCCGTTCATTTTTTAAAATAATTAGAGAAATGACAAGAATAATTTTAAATTAAATGTGTATAAACAATTGTATAAATTGCATTTTGTAATTGTAAAGTTTGAGACAGTATCATAGTTTAAGTTTGTTACTTTTTAAGAATAATAAAAGAAATGCAAATATATAAAATTAATTTAACACAAAGTTTGTATATAGTTAGTTATTGAATTGCATTTTGATATCTACATTTAATATTTGAGACAATCTCATAGTTTTAATAATATATAAATTGATTTATAACAAAGAGCATATATATATATATATATATATATATATACATGTATATATATACATATATATATATATATATATATATATATATACCTATAAAATTGCATTTTGAAATTGATATTTGAAATTTGAGACAAAATCATAGTTTCAGTTTATAAATTTTTAAAAATATTTGATAAGAATAATTCAATACACATGCATGCAGATATATATATATATATATATATATATATATATACTAGCATACCCTGCCACGCGTAGTTGCGGCTTTTATTAAAATCCACCTGATTAAAATTTGAATCCGTATGAAAACCAACATTTCAATCCTTTTTTTATAAAAATTTACAAAATTAATCGAGTACTTTTATATTCACATAATAAAATTATAATATTTTTTTATAATTGTAGAAATAGCAATATTTAAAGTAAAAATATTTATATAAAGTAATTGAAATCGAAAACATGTAAAACACGTAGGCAGTGTATATATAGTGTATACTGTTTTAATATCTTACTACTATTATATTATATCTAATAAAATATTATTTATAAATGTCATAATAATTGCAATGCTGATGTAGTATTATATTATATATGCATAAATATATAAAATTAAAAAAAATCAGATATCAGTCCAAATATTAATTTTGTCAATATTTTCATTGATATGTTACGCCCGATTATTAGACTCTGTTAATACATGTGATCAAATTCAATATAATATACATACTTATACATATGTTTTGTATTCAGTGTAAAACATATTCATGAAAATATTAGTAGCTAGTTTGTCAGAAATTTTGAACTGTTGATAAAACACATAATTAATTATTCTAATAATTGTTTGTGTTTATTGGGAATAATTAATTAATTATAATATCTATTAGTATTCGCTGATAGCATTACTAAGAACCTTTGAAAATAACAGCCTATTGTAAGAAATATTAATAACAATATAATTCAGTTCAAAATGACTATAATACAAATATAATACAAGAATAATATAATTATGGATAATCGAATTGACTAGAACAAAAACACTTTGAGCAATTATTTAATAATGGGGCAAAACATAAAAAGCAAAAGTAAAAATAAAAAATATAACAAAAAAAATAGTTATTGAAGCATATTTTATCAAAGTACTAGAAAAGGAAAATAGATAAATTTAATATTAAAAAAAATCTGTATTGTTTTAATGATAAATAATATTTTAGTAACTATTTTAAAATATGGAAGAAGAATTTCGTTTATTACAACATTATACTACTTTATATGGAAAAAAATGTTAATCCCCAAAAATTTGCTGAATCTTATGTTAGTTCTTTTTGTGTTGGGTGAATATAATATATTCAGAAATGTATACTCACCTATGTTTATAAACAATTATTTTATTTAATAAATATATTTAAGATATTACAAGTAATTGTGAAAAGAATTTTAGTAGAAAAAACGATTTTTTTAATAGACTCAAGTTGGAGAAAGGGTAGGTAAAACCTATAACACACAATTAAATGTTATTATGGTTAATAAAACTGTATTAATGCTGTAATATAGTTAATAAAAAAACAGATTTGTTTTTAAAATATTTCAAAGTTGACTCCGAGATGAGTATAATGAAAAAAGCCAATACTGATCTGATCAACACAACTGGAGATAATTAATTTAACGCAGAGGAAGTTCATGAAAATTGAGCAAACCCATAGTTGAATTTACGTGAAAATTTTTATTCAGCAAAATCCTGAAATGTATAAAATTCGTAAAAAAATTCAGACAATTGTAAAATGTTACATTTTATTTTCCCCAAAATCTGATTTGTAAAAGAATGACCCAATTATTTAAAAAAATGAACTCAAAAATCGCTAATAGTTAATTTTTTTATATTTTTATAATTAACAATTTTGCTTAATGGTGGTTGCGCCATCAAATGCGAGTTGTCCACAGTTTAAGGATTTGATCTTCGTTTTAACACCTTAATATCATATAGGAGATCTTGGGGCTGGTTGTAACAGTTTGTTTTTATTTTAAATTAACATATCTTGAGATCCACTGATTATATTTCTACAGAATAAAGATGAATAATTGTTGTAATAATTTCTCTATCAAATCTAGTAAAAATAATTCCACAACAGTCCATTCTACAATTATTTCACAATTAAACAGGGCTAGTTGTAACGTCTACCGAGGCAAGCAGTGACAACAAAAAAACGACAATAATATCTCTGATAATTTATTCTTTACTTATTTTTAAGAAAATTGACTTGCTTTCAAATAATTCTTTTCATAAATCAACGCAAACTGTAATTATTACAAATAAAATATGTAATGTCTCTTATAATATAGTTTTTCATCATAAAGATATAGTGTCTCCTGTAAAACAATTTATTTTAAAAACTATATATTCCATCCAATTTTCTTCACTTGAATCTATATATAATTCTGATATGTTACAACTAGCCCCAAGGTTTTGTTTCAACTAACCCCAGGTGTGATTTTTTACATTAATGATGATAACTATTTAACAGACATAAGGTATTATCAAAAATTGATGAATTTGAAACAAAATAAGATATATAAAATTTAAAATTAGTCAATAATAATAACTTCGACCGAATTTTTATGATTGTTCAATTTTATATTACCAGTCAAAAATGACGGACCTGCACAGTTCTGTTTATTGCATCGGCTTACGGGACAGTTGCTATGACAATGCTTATGCTGGAAGGTTTTCATGTCCAATCGAGACAAAAAATATTTTAATATCTTTTAAGATTCTATTGAAAAACGCCTGTTACTAGTTACCCATGTTACATATAGTTCCCCTACTCAATCCAAAATCGATTTGTCTGTTATACAAAATAAATAAATAATAATAATATTATTATTATTATTTATTTATTTACATATACATTATTTTTACATCTCAGTCAGACAGAGGTGCCTGGTATGAGAGATTATGAAAAACAGTTTTCATATTTTATATATACATTTCATATATATTTCATTAATATAATATCTATTATAATTAAAATAACTTTATAAATAACTCTTGAGTCTTCTTTGTCTTCAATTTTCTTATAGTATTTCTTAACTCAAGAATAACTCGCAAAAAAAATGTATAATATATACAAATATATAAAAAACACACAATTTTGCTAGTATAAATATAAAAATGATAAATATAGGTACCTAAGCATTTTATTTTATATCAAAAGTATTATGATTGGAAATAATTGAATTGGATTTGTTTTATGTTTGAATTAAACCATATTCTGAATAGGCCATAAATAAAATCACAATTCACTTGTTGTAATTCATTAGGATAGTCACAATTTATTAGTTGCATTCAAATTTAAATTTCGCAGTACCAGACGTACATTTCAAATTTGTAATTGCCACGGTTTTTTTTCGGGTGTTGGATGCTTGCGTTGAGCTTCGTTCTGTAAGTCCATGCATTATTTTGGTTACGTGCCTGGTCGCCATGTTTTCAATGTAAATGTCTAACGTAGAAACGTCAACATATGACACTAAATGAATGATTCTTTTGTTTTTAAAAAATACTTTTGTTGTATCGAATATCCTGTTGACCCGAGTGATTTGTATGTTGTGATATTAAAATTGAAGTTCTAATTTACTTAAAACAATGCATCGAAGTGACGGTTTGGTGCAACGTAAAAATGTGATTCGCGACAGTGAAGGAGTGGCTAAAGATTCTACGGATTTTGACGATAAAAAAAATGATAGAGATGACGCAGATGATGGAGACTCGAAGGAGACTCGTTTGACTCTTATGGAAGAAGTTCTACTTCTAGGATTAAAAGATAAAGAGGTTAGTTGTTGCAAGAGTCTTGACATCCTGTGTGAGCACATCCTGCTGTTATAGATAAAAATTCTATTTCATTCACCAACACACATCTCTATAATTCATGTAGTAACATGCTCTTGAAATGTTTACTCGTAGATTATAAATTTTATATGCCGATTTATTAATATTCAAGATAACGTAGGCCTCCTGTTTACTGATATATAAAACGTAGCTTATAAGATAATAATTGAGGCATTGTTCCCTTGAATTGTTAATTTGTCCTATAGGAAGTTCTACAAAAGAAATTATATAAGTGCTATGTTAATAGTTTTAATAAGTGAAAGGTACATATACAATATTATGTGTGCTTATGTACAATTAAAATAATTGCAGTAAATTATGTAATTTTGATCATATGGAATTTTTAAATGTTTGTCAATATGATCAATTTTAGTACTGCATGATTTAAAAGTTAGCAAAACATTTAAGCGAAGACAATTCAATAATGATAATAATCTGGTAAGCTGATTTTAAAGTCAGCAATACCATTTTCAGTCTTATTTATGTTAAAGGATTCATAGATTAGTGCTGAATATGCACTTTTTTTACGATATGCTGATGTGTCCAAAATATTTCATAATAATATTTTTGGTTTATTAGACATTTTCTTGGGAAACTTCCCATGAATTATTTGATTCAGACATTGTTACTGAGCAGCTGGGTTATTATGCATCTTTATGATATATTATTTAAAAATTGTTTCTTCCTAATCATTGATCAAACCTTTGTTCACAATTTTTTATGTTATGCTGCAAAATCTTCCTATATATTTTTTTAATTTATTATGCATCTTTTAATACACTTCATTTTCTCAAAATTTATCCATGTTGTCTTGGGATATTAATAAATGTCCCAAATAAATTTTTGTATTACAATGGTGTTCTGTATTCGAATCAATTTTATTATTTTTCATAAATAAAGTATTATTTCACATGTACATAAATTTCTTTTGGTTAATTATCATGAGTTATTAGATTCAGATATAATTACTGGGAAACTGGTCTAATAAATAATATCATGATGGTATATTAATTAAAAATTGTTTTTTGATTGATCATATAAAGAGTGCACATCTTACAATGGAAATTTTTCCAATAATTTTGTTGAAATAATATATTAGCTGATAGCAATAATATATTAGCTGTTAGCATATAGCATTGCAGATATATTACCAAATTTTGACTGCACATGTAACAAAGTTACTGCTACATTTTGAAAGACGTCTTAACTTGTTATTTTGCAGAGATATTACCGAATGTTGACTGCACATTTAACAAAGTTACTGCCACGTTTTGAAAGATATCTTAACTTGTTATTCCGCAGAGATATTACAAAATGTTGACTGTAACAAAGATACTGCTACATTTTAAAAAATATCATAACCTGTTATTTTGCAAACTGGTATGCACCCACAAGGGTTTACCTTATTGTTGCATTGAGTGTTTGCGCAATGAAGCATATTTTAATATTTTATTCAGTAATTTGATTATCTAAATTTGTATTAAAATGGTGTGAATTTTTCATTGATATATATATATATATATATATATATATATATATATAGTTTAAATTATTTCTGCTTAGGGTTATACCTCATTCTGGAATGATTGCATTTCAAGTGGTCTTAGAGGATGCATATTAATAGAATTAGGCCTACGTGGACGTGTGGAATTGGAAACTGCTGGTATGAGGAGACGTGGTTTACTTTCAAGAAAATTAATACTTAGGAGTGACACCCCAACTGGTGATGTTTTACTAGATGAAGCACTGAAACATTTGAAAGATACAGATCCTCCTGAGTCGGTTCAAAGCTGGATCGAGTACCTCAGTGGTAGGTTATAGTATTATTAAATTTTAGAACTGTTTGGCAATGTTGTAAAATATTTATTGTGAAAGGTGAAACATGGAATCCTTTGAAGCTACGCTATCAGTTGAAAAATGTGCGAGAGCGTTTAGCAAAAAACTTGGTTGAGAAGGGAGTACTGACTACGGAAAAGCAAAATTTCTTGCTATTTGATATGACAACCCACCCATTAACTGACAATGTGACAAAATGCCGACTTGTAAAAAAGGTCTGTGCATCTTCACGTTCTATAATGATTTTAATTCTGAATTTGTTGTTTCTTATAATTTTACTTGTATAGATTCAAGATGCAGTACTTTCTAAATGGGTGAATGATGCTCAACGTATGGATAAGAGGATGTTGGCTTTAATCTTTCTAGCTCACGCGTCTGATGTTCTTGAGAATGCTTTTGCTCCCTTAAATGATGATGACTATGAATTAGCAATGAAAAGAGTGAGGGAGCTATTAGATCTGGATTTTGAGCAAGAGTCCCTGAAAAACAATACTTGTGAAGTTTTGTGGGCAGTATTTGCTGCATTCACTAAGTAAAAGGTAGATTAACATGACCATTAAGAGAAGGTTACAACATGTTAGAGAAGTTGTGGTATGGGCAGATATTTTAAAATAAAAATAAATATATAAAACCAATATTATTTTATTGGTAAAGTTATATTGAATGTAAATTTTGTATCATAGTTTCATAGAATAATAATTACCCCCTAAGAATAAAATTCAAGTAAGAACAGATGATTGTAAATGAAGCCATTGCACATAATTTAATGGTATTTTGATCATTGGCTTTTGCACTAGATTAATTTAAATTGACACTTGGAAACATAGCTAATTGAGTTATTGATCAAATTTTTATTTTATGTATAAAAAATGGTTATTTAAAAATAGTTTGCACTTTAGAACTCTTTAGAAACAAATTTTACAGACAGCAGAAATTCAATTATTATTGACCAGTTTAGAGATAGATTGTAACTTGAATTTATCTTATTACTAATTTTATAATAAATTTAATAGATTCAGTTAAATTTTTACATATTAAGATATGCAATATACTTTATAATATTATAGAAAGATGATCTAAAAATATATTTCTATTTTTGTAAAATATTTGAACTGCAAAATGAATTTATAAATTTGCACGCATCTCCAAAACTTTGCTCTAACTGAATATGTTATTATATTAAATACGATTTTGTTGATCTATTATATCAAATAGTTCATAAAGTAGCTGTGTACAGTAAATTGTTTTTTTTAAATGCATATTTCATTTGCTTTGATATTTTTATAAGAACAATCTGTCTGCCTAACCTGAAATGATTGAATTTGTTCCTCTTGTAATTCAATTAGGATGATATTTGTATAAATTTTATTATTTATGCCCATTTAATTGATAAACAGCTGTGACTGGTTCATATCTATAGAAAGAGTGCTAGTGACAGTGACAGTGACGCACCTATAAACAAACATAAATCTCAATTATAGATCATTGCTTTGAAATAAAATGTAATTTATATTAGTGCCAAAAATCTTACCATTAGTTGAAGCTTCTGCAACATGATTTTTGTGCAAAATTCAATTCAACCATGCAGCCAGATTATTCTTCTCAACATAAGGATAGCCAGAGGACATGCAATAAACTGAAAAATATTTTATCATTGCTGGTCTTTGTTGTATGTTGTAAATCTCAAAATTGATTTTACAAATTTTTTTGATAAAATGTTATAGGTATTATTTGAATTATATGGTGCCTCCAAAGCGTTAAATTTGGACCTTAACTATATTGAGACTTCTTATTTTTAACTATAGTAATGTAATTTATATTAAATTTTACTGTAATATTATATTACAGGATAGATAGTAACACATATTTGAGATGCTAATTTTGTTTTCAAAATTTGTATATATTGATCTATATTACTGTAATAAATATGTTATAACAAATTTTTTGTTGTATTTATTTTGAAATGCACTTATGATCATAATTAATACTTGAACTGCCACGAATTGTAATTTTTTTTTTATTCGCATAAGTTTTTTTAGTTTGTTTTAATAAAGTAATTTTAGTATAGTGCTTCAGATCTCAAATATGTGTTTGAAATAAAAAATGTGTCTTTACGAACTTCGACTTAAATAAAAACACAATATGAATTTAGAATGTTAATTAGAACATATAATTCTTCTTATAACTTGCATATTGTGTTTCATATATATGCATATATGAATTCCTATCTGTGTATAAATGTATTCATGAGTGTGTGCATGTATATGTGTATTCATGCTTGTTTAAATAATTTATAGATATAAAATATGTCCTCTAAAAGTATTTTTAAGTCGCAAGGATATAATAGTGGCAATGCACGATTTATGGCATGATTAGATAATACAATTCATATAAAATTGAAAGCGAGTACTGTGATTTATAATGGCAACATGAATATAAATAAACAATTTGCAACAATTACTTTTGTCTTTTGCCTTTCGCAAGCACAACTAATTTGAATATGCTTACTGGATATAAATATAAAAAGGCCTAAGGAAAATTAAAAGCTGAAAAAGTAAAGAAATTTGAATTTAAAATTGTATATGATACTCAATATACACAATTAGTGGACTAAATATGACTAACCACAATATTTCAATATTAATGTTTTTTTGTTCATTATAATAAATACTAAAAAATAAATAGCAGTTTTAGGGAAAATTTATATATACTATAGAAAACATCATTTGTTCATATTCCGATTATTGTGTCCATGCAAGCTATTCAAGCATTAGTCTGTTAATATATATGCTTGTTTTTATGATTATTAAATATGTAAATACACCCATATATTATGTAAATATTCTTAAATATCATCAATATATATATATATATATATATATATATATATATATATATATATATATATAATATCAATGTCGTCATGAGTAGAGAACATTTTTCAATATTAACACTTCACACTGTTTTTTTTTTAATCTACTATCATTTTAATAATGATAGTCATCCATTTATTATATACTTAAATAAAACTTAAATGTTCACTGATTATGGGACAAAACTATATTCCAAAACTTTTACAATTTTAACATTACCGGATATTTAGCACAAAAAAAGCATGTGGTGTGTTATATTGAGAAAATTCACATATATGTATATACATAAGTTGAAAACAGCAAATTATATTTTGTGAATTATGTATTCAGACACTATTTGTAAAAGTTCTACCTTTATTGAGTTTGAATTTATATTATCAAATAAGGATATTACTTATAACATATCTAGATAGACAAGACTTTGTTTATGCTATGTCTATAGGTCTTTAAACTTTAATTCCTAGTAAACGGCATATTTATTTGTTATTCATGTTTATGCCTATAATCATTAATAATAAATATTTAGAATTTATGTATTTTAAATATTTGATCATAAATATTTATCAATCTCAAAACGATTTCCTTCATTCCTGCCTTCAATTGCGTTAGTTTAGAATGTAAATGATATTGTCATCATATATTAAATACAGCTATTTAATATATGAAATTCTATGATGAATATTGATACTTTCAATAACTCATTAGTATATTGGTTCAGTTACGTTTTGAATATTGCTAATCTGCGTTATTTATTGGTGCGCTAATCTGGTGTGGTTACACACATTGCATAGTTCAATCTTTTTTATCAAAATGTGTTTGAGAACATTTTGATTAAATTTAAATTCTGGGTTCTTTTCATCTCGAACAAAAACTCAAAAACTGAATTATCTTCATGCCAAAATATCATAATATTTATGACTATTGCAATGTTCAAAGGGTCTGCAGAATATAAATAGAATTATTTTAATAGATCAGATTTGACAATACTTTCTTATAATATTGATTATGTGAAAGAATAATTTTTATATATTATAGATGTGTATTATGCAATATGAGAATTATTATTATGAACACTGTTTAAATATCTGATTTATTAATTTGTGGTTGATTATGAGAATATTGTAATATATAAAATGTTAATAAATTTTAAGTAAATAAAACAATCATACAAAATTGTATAAAAACAACATTAAATTGTATAACTTATTATTTCCAGCATGAAGTTATATTTATTAATTGTTTTAAGATTCAACTAAATTTTTTACCCGTAAATTTACGTTTTATTTATTAAATTTACATTACTTAAGTTTTATTCTTTTTTGCACTATTTATATAACTACATAATTTTAAGAAGGAAAAAGCTATTGATATAATTGTAGGAAACAAATGTGTGTTATAGAAGTTATTTGATCTACAATTTTCATTTCCCAGAATAATGTCTATCTGAATACTTATAAAATTTTGATATATTTTTATGAAATGATTAAATTTATACTGAATGTTAAGTGAACAACTAATTTCCTAGTTTTAGGTAGAAAAAAAACTATAATTGTTAAATACCCAAATTTAGAATTACAAAAAAAAAAGAAAAACCTTTTACAACGTATAAACATTCTAAATTCCATCCATATTCAATTTTCTTTAATCGAGACAATTATACTCTAATGAATTAGAATAAAAAAAGATAGTTTTTAATTTTCCCAAAATTTTCAAAGTGAAGGTTCAATAAAGGTTCATAATATGATCAGCATGCAATTAGAACTGCAATCTGGTGCAATTGATCCGAGAAGATGCCCATACACATCCAAATTATCGAACACATGATGAAGAACCACAATAGTAAAGAAAAACAAAAAAATTGTTAATAAAATAAATTTTGAATTATCATTAAAAATTTTTATATATTTAAAACATAATATAAAAGCATTATTTTGACGTTCATAGTATTTAATTCTGGTGAAAATTCGCTATACTTAGTTCATTATCATTTAATAGACAATTAAATGATATTTATAAAGATACATCAATAAATTGAGGACGGCATTTTTATTAAATTTCATATTAACAATTCATTGTTATTTTACCAATGTCCCAATTCTTTTCAAAATATGTACAATATCCATATGTACGAATGGCTGATTGACTAATTTGAGGTAATATTAGATCCGGTCCTATCGCCAAATCCTGATAAATATTCCTCGTCTTCTTCATGATGGCCTCCATCATATTCTTTTATGACAACGACTTCCATTTCTTCAGACGATTGTTCACCAATTTCAGCCATTAACTGTGCCCATTCTTCATCCTGTATAAAAGTATTTAATTTATAGTGCATTTTAATAAATATTAGCAATCATAGATAAATAAGCATTTAGCTAGCAATATACATGATGTACGGTGGTGTTTTTTGAATATAGGACAATATCCATCGATTAAGGCCTATGTTTTTCATCAGCATTCTATTAATTTATTTAATCTAGAGAATGTCGATTATGGCAATAATCAACAGATGCTGGCCGAGGTAGGGGCTGGTCTTGGTTCAGAGCATTGCGATTTTTAAACTCCCTGTCGGCATCTCTGTTCCAGTTGGGCCGGCTCATAATGAAACATGTGATGAAAGCTACGAGTATATGGAGAGATTTGATACTACGGCGAGAGCAGCAAAGAGTTTGAGGCGGCCGTACTCTCAAACTATCAAATTTACAAAAAAACAGTTTTCTAAAGAATTGTAAGAAATTTAATCTAGTTTAATTCGTACATAGATACTTTTATCGTAGAATAAGCCAGAAAGGAGATATTTTAAAAAAGCTGTTTTTTGACGCCATTTTTCCAATATGGCGGCAACTTGCCGTTCAAATTTGAGGTGGCAAACATGCTTATGCTTATGCTTTTTATTTATGCTTTTTATTCATGCTTATATTATTTATACTTATATATGCTTATTAATAAACATTTATGCTTATTTATCTAGGGTGGCAAAGTTGATTTTCGTAAAGAGCACCTCAAAATCCATAAGATTACCAATTTTCAGAATTCCCGGAGTACTGTACCGGCAAAACGACCAAATGACTGGACTATTTACAGAATATGTAAAAAAGTATCACTTGCTTTTGTTTTATCCATAGATAAAAGAAGAGTATGGTTTTATTTCTCATAGCAACCATAGATAAATAAGTATAAAGATAGCAACCTATGCAATAAATTGCCATGAGCTAAAATTCCCGTATCATCTGCAAAAATTGCATTTATGGTTTCTGGATTTGTGCGTATATCGGCAGTATATATGATGTAAAAGGCACTTTCATTTCATCTCATTTTAAATATGCTGTTAAAAATTCGAATGAAAAAAATTCGAATTGATGTAGTTATTTTGCGTGCCGCAGATTTGACGCGGCTCGCCGAAATGGCTGTAGTACCGCCATTTTTAATTTTTTTTACAATTATATTTTATTTTGTTACTTTAAAGTACAATAAATAACTATCTTTAATATCATGATTTTAATACTTTTCCTTCCGTCCGAAAAAAATGGCAAAAACATACGTTTTTTTTTACTGCTGCAGTGGTGTAATCCCTTAATTCAGGTAAATATGGTTCATTTACCATATCAAACATGGTAAAGTAGGAACCGTTCAAAAATATAATTCAAAGATATATAAATATAGAACACCATTTTGCATCGTACACTTTCATTTTTATAAATAATCGGTATTTTGCAAAACAACGAGAATGTCTCTTATTCTGTAATAAAATTGGATTTCTAACGCAATTCTGTGAAGTCTTAGAAGCATATATTTTTTTGTCGTAAAGCCTTCATAAATATCCATCAATAGATGAAATCATTTACGATAATTCGTCGGTATTAAAATAAAAAACCTAACATAAAGGTGGCATAATTAATTCATTTCATACATGATGTCTAATTTTCTATGAACTTCAACAAAATTATATTGTAATTACCTTTTTGTGCTGTAAGGCTATTTCACTCTGTGAGATGGGAAACGAATATTGCCGTGGAATTACTTGTTCGCTCTGTATTTTCATTTCTGATAAATTTGGCAATCCTCTCTTTTTATTGCAGGCTAAATATTCTTCTATCGCATCTAACTGACCTGACTCTATGTCTATATATAAAGAAAGAAAAAACAATATATGAATAATAAATAATAACATTTAGTATAGTTTAACACGTTGATGCCGGTGTTCTTCTTTCGTCGGACCGACTAAAAGTACAATTAGTGTTAATGAAATGCTAAAATAAAATTTTAATGAAATTTATTGAAACATTCTAAATAAAAATGTGTTACATAGTAAACGTTGCCATGTAACACATTTGTATGCGTGTGATGAAGAGTCCTTCATAGTTTCAAAAAATTTGAAATTCAGAGAATTAATTTTTTTTTCAAAACTTTTTAAAAATTTCGAACATTTTTTCCAAAATTACTAGGGAAATCAAATTTTTGAAACTTTTCGAATTAAGAAAAAAAACAAATTTAAGAAAAATGAACAAATTTTTAGTGAACATGAATACGGTATTTATAATACATATAATCTTGAAAATATTTAGAACAATTGTTTTCAAGTTTAATTACGGCACAGGAAGTTCCAGCAATTTGCCCTAAGACACAATGCCATGCACCACTAGTTGGTACGCAGAAAAATTCAGAAACCTTTGAAACGTAAAGATATATAAAAAATTTAATTTCCGATTTTTTTGTGATTAATATAACCTAAAGATGGGTTAAAGGGTAAAGATAAAAATGTTTTTTTTTGTATGTAATTATAAAAACAAAAATTGTAATATTAAAATATTTTTAATAAAAAATTATAGAGATAATCTCATTATTTCTGAATACAAACTTATCAATAGTTTTTAGGTTCTAAATAAATAATAGGTAGAAAACAGATGTAATTAATTTCGGAAATTCAGATAAAAATTTGTAATACATTTTAAATATTTCTAATCTAAATTGATATAATATCATTTAACGTTAGAAATAAATGATTACTTTAATCAATTAATTATTATTCGGATAATATTCTTGTTTCGGAATGGTAAGTAGTTATTTAAAAATGATTCATACCTGTAGTACGAACTTCGAAATAAATTAATATTGGAAGATATAGCTTTCGAATTTGATTTCATCATAGTCATATGCACAACTAACGTATTTCATCACTGATATTGCTTGAGGGTTATATATTAGAATTAGACATACATCAGAAACGCTACTAATTGATTTTGTGATCTAAATGTATAATCGAATTCCTAGAGTCTGTAATTGCATTTTGCATTTTGGTATATATATTTTAATGGATATATGAAGGGAAATTGTAATTATATATATTAGGATGCAATTTTAAAAGATTTAAATAAAGATCTAGTAATATTTGCAAATTTCTGCTGAATTATACAATAAAAAACTAAACTAGTAGGGTGCATGGCATCGTGCCTTAGGCAAATAGCTGGTACAATTTTTTTTTTTTTTTTTAAGAGATTAACATTTTTGAAAAAAATTTACTCTGAAAAAATTAGATTTTTGAGAAACTATAAATTTTTGACAAAAATTTACTTTTTTTGAAAAAAAAGACTTTTTGAAGAAAAATTTATTCTGAAATATTTTGGAAATTCTAAACTTTTTTTCAAAGCAATCGTACTGCTTTGACTACATAGAGACAAAATACCGAGGCGTGTAAGCGCCGCGTCGCCGTCTAACGGATAAACATTGGTAAGAAATCCATAGGAATGTAAACAGAATTTATACTTATTGTTAAAATATCTATAAAATATCTGATAATTTGATGTGCATATGTCTAATGACCATTTTTGACCGCCAAATGGCATTTTTTTTTACTTTTTTTACTAGATCTCCGAAACCGCTAGACCTGCCTTGAAAATTTGATCAGTTCTTCATCTTGTTAATACAAGTAAAATGTTTTTTGGATTATTCAAATCGGACGCTCCGTTCTCTTAAAAACTGAGTTACCGTTGTTGGCACTTTTTGCCCCATATCTTCGGAACGGCTAGACTTGTCTTCACTAAAAACTAATCAGCACGTCTCCTTATCAATACGAATCAAATGTTTTTTGAATTATTCAAATCGCTTCATCCGTGTTCCCAAAATCGTCGACGAAAATTTGTATCCGCACACACACATACATACACACACACACATCTACATCCATTTTTTCTAAGGTATGCCAAAATATTCAGAAACCTCTAAAACGTAAAGATACATAAAAAAAATTATTTTCGATTTTTTTGCGATTACTATAACTTGCCCTACGGGACATCAATAATCAAACTCAATCATTTAAAGTAAAACGGGACAGAAAACGACAAAATTTGTAAAATTCTAATTATCATGCAAAAAAATTACTAGGTAGGAGATTTTGACGTTTTCTTTTTTTATATTTTTTGTGGTAAAAACTACATTGGAAAACATATGTTGCACACCCAATATAGTCAATTTTTTTTGCGACCGGGGTGTTTTCATTTGGCGCACACTTTGATAAATAATAGCGTTAGTATTAAATGATTATTCAGCATACTGAAGAATGAATGAAAAATAAAAAAAATGATAAACATATACCAGTGTTTCTGCAATCAATTTCGGTCAACATGATGTTGTTTGCTATACTAGATACAAGCCATTCACCACCATCAGGACCCAAAAAGTTAGAACTAATGTCCAAAACTTGAAGAGATCGTTGGTACTGCATAGCTTCTGCAATCTAAAAATAAATAAATATACATATATATATATATATATATGTGTGTGTGTGTGTGATTGTGTAACTTTTTAGCTTGATTGAGAAGAATTTGGGTGTGTCAGTTGTACTATCAGCAGACTTTTGTCGGAATTTGAGGAAACTGGTCCATTATGATAACATTTGATAGTTATTAAATAAAAGAGTTCGATAATTTTGGTGAAGATAAGTATATTTCTGTTATCTTTATAAAATTTTATGTATTGTGGTAGGGATTTAATGGTGTAATATGGTATTATCAGTATCGAAAAAATCTTTTTTCGTAGATCAACGTAAAAAAGACAACAAAGTTAAGAGACAGTTAAGCCAGTTATTATTAGTAAGACTTGTAAAACAATACTAAAAAATTACTACTATTAGTAACCACTTTTTGTCGGTCTCTGATATTTTTAGATGCTCGTTTAGAATTAGATCAAACTCTATCCCTGTGTTAAGTTCCATTAAAAACGTTAATTTGACAAAAAGTTAAATTTTTGCGCAAAAGCTGTGCTCACATCATGAAAGTTTGATGAATTTTTAAATTAAAAAAAACACTTCCAGCAGGGTAAATGTGAGCAAAATCGGCTCACATACATACACACACACATACTTTTCTAAATTTGGTCTCAAACGTTTCAGAATGTCTTGAAACGCCGAGAATACATAACAGCCGACACTTCAGACAAAAACATAAGTTTCTTCCGCGGAAATTATTATCTATATAGTAATAATTTATAATATAACATAATATTATTTTATTAATACATACCCGAAGACCGCCTTCTCCGAATACTCCAGTACCAGCTATACAAAGATATCTTGGTTTCTTTATCCTAATTAAAGAACTAACTAGACACCATACACCATCATCTCCAAGAGGATTCAACCTAAGGTCTGAAAAATAATTAATCACATAATTAGTTAAATTATCTCACAATCTAATTATCTTATCTTTTTCTACCTAAGTAATCCAGCGGACATGACGTCTCCTCTTTGAGCCCAAATGATATTCCTTGCGCGCCTAGAGTTCCTATATTATTTCCAGGAATCCTTAAGGACCTCAAATTTGGATGTAGTGATAAAAACTTGCCTAGCATCAAACCACTACGGTCGTTTAACGAGCAGTAAGATATTTCTAATTCTTCAAGAGGCTTATATGCTATTAGAGCCTGCAAAATTGGCTGCAATTCCAGGTCGCCAATTGAACTTCGGTGAATACATAACTTTCTTAGACCTCAAAAAATCCAAGTAGAAAAATGTTTTTTAAATTATTGAAAACACTAAACTAGTACATTTTAGACCACCTCGCATTTTAGACAAACATTATAACTTAATTTTGTGTTATATGAACATTTATGTCTATTAATTACCAGGCAGCTCCAAAATTCCCTGTCCTAATTTTCTACCATCTTCAATAGATACTTTTAATTTATACCACTCAAATTGGTCACCTAGTTTTTTAGCACCATATCGTATTCTCAAACTTTCTAATTTGGGAAGACAGTGCAGGGCAATTCGTAAGTTGAAGTGATCGGCAGGATAAGTTAGAGGTGCATCAGTGGTCGAATCTTCTTCAGATGCATTTGTGGGCCTGCTGGGTATTAGTTGTTGAATATCCAAATCATATATGTAATCCGCTACCTAAAATAAAGAAAAATAATATAATTTAATAGCAAGCTCTACCTTATTTACAAACAGATCTAAATTCAATAATTGTACGTCAGAGCGAACGAATGGATAAATGAGGTTAAGAAACTTTACCAGCAAATGTCTGAATAATTTTTGCTGTATATATATGTTATTATATATGATAAAATTATGTTACAAACAGTTGTTAACTTTCAGAAAAAAATATATATTGGCACCTTGAAATTGTCGGAAAATCAGTAATAAATATTTCTTTTCTAGACTGTGTTAGTATTTTGAACAATCTAAATCGGTTAAGTCGCTTTCTTCAAACTGAGATAAATGTACAAATACATACATAATATAAATGATCAGAAAGTCGTAATAATGTAAGTTATTAATCAATAACTGTTCTAATAGATTATTACCTGCAGACATTTCTGCTGGAAGTCTTCGGTGTCGTAATGTTCTGGAAGTTGGCTCTCGATCAATTCGGTGATGTGTCGCTGTAAATAGTAACTTCGCCATTTGCCCTTTTTGTAGTTGTCGTCTAAAACATCTGGCCAACGATACAATGTATACCTCATCCAGTAGGAATCATCCTGTTCATCGAAAATATGACAATAAGAAAAAATTGTTATAAGTTTTGCTATCTGCGTCATTAAAATCAATAGCATTTTCGGATAAGTTAGAGTGCAGTACAAGGTATTAGAGTAATTATTTTTCAACATTTTCTACCCTAGAAACTTTTACAAAGTATACCTCATCCACTATTAGAAATGAATCTATTCAATAAAAAAGGGTAGGGCGGGATACCAAGATTCAATTAGATTTTCAGCAATTATGTTGTGAAAATCGAAATATTTAAATCACAACAAATAATACATATAAAATAAACAACTATCGAACTATGTTGACTAAAATTCCCAGCTCATTCATCATCGTATAAATGTGTTCTTTGCTATTTTTTTTAAAATTTATCATCTGGTTATTTTTACTCCATAGGCGTATACATATTTTTATTGTTTACACTTTTGGTTCTATTTACTCCCTCCATAAGTAAGCTTTCATGTAAATAATAGAGAAAAACTGTTGAATCTATCTTATAACATAATTATATAACGTATACTTAAAAATTATATTAAGGTCTCGTAAACTAAACAATAGTGCTCACAACAAAAAAAACAACTACAAAATAAATACTTTTATTGTGGATTTTTAAACATTGCTTTTTATCTCTTGATAGCAATGTGATAAAAATCAAGATGATAACATTTTTCCCTCTACTTTCAAATACTGTTGGTAAAAAAATCTTAACTTCACTTATTTTTGAGATATCGGTAATAAACCTTTTTACCCGTGAATATATACTAAAATAATCTTTTTGATATTCGAATGACTAAATATGTAATCAGTTTTTCTCACGAGTAAAATTCTAAATAAATTCACGAGCACAAACTGTAACAAGTTTTAAAGATTTATCTTTATATGAGCGTTCATCTACTCATATAACGGATAATCGTCAAACAATAAATATCAATAATAACTCTATTCTTTACAAAATAGTTCTTATATTACCCATTAGTAATTTATGGTAAAAATTAAATAGTGACCAAAAAATTACTTCTATAAAGTCCAGTACGACTTGCAATGGCAAATCGAGCGACAAAAATTCAACAATATAATCTCTTTCTCTGCACTCCATACGATTGATACCTTCGACTTCTTGGGGATGCTCATTTAAATATTTTAAAATAACTTGCATACACAATGTACTACAACTAGGCCCCCTTTCGGCACCAATAGAAAAATTTTCAGCAAATATAGTTCTTCCTTCTTCGCTAGCTGAAAAAATAATAGATGGATTACTTAATTAATGGATAAAAAATAAAATTCGATGTGCTATGTAGAGTAGAACAAGGTCCAAGGAAGACATATCATTCATAACTATTGTTTGTTATATTTAATTTATTAATTAGTATAATGAAGCTCTGCCCGAAGTCAAGTTCTAGATCTTCAATAAACAGACAGAAACTTCAAACAAACTTAAAACTTTTTGTTAGTTCGAAAGGAGATTTTTCGTTACCATTCTTTACCGCAATTCTTAAAGCACTTTTTTAAATTGTAAACATTTTTGTCTGTATTCACAAGTAAAAATTTATTTCTACTGATACATTATGCCGGGTTGTTCGATAAAATTATAGGATAAAGCGGAGCACAAAGGTCCAATTTGACTTCAGTATTATACTGTCTAAAATTAAATGAACCACATGACAACACATAACATGTATCAAACAAACAACTATCAAACTATGTTCAGTAAAATTCCCAGGAAATATGTTTTCTTAATTATTTTTCTAAAATTGGTCATATGATCCTTAGCATGATAAAATTGGACAGAAGGCAAACAGATCCAATGTCTTATTTCTAATTTTAAAGGGATTTTACAAAATAATAGCTGTATTGTATATAACCTTGATCTGGTAAGAAATATTCATCAGCCATAAGCACAATAAAATTGGACAGCCAGAAGGCAAACAAATCCATTTTCTTATTTCTATTTGTAAAGGGATTTTACGAAATAATAGCTATATTGTATTAAACCTTGATCTGGTAAGACATATTTACCAGCCATAAGTATGATGAAATTGAACAGCCAGAAGGCAAACAGATCCAATGTCTTATTTATAACTTTAAAGAAATTTTACGAAATAATAGCTGTATTGTATATAACCTTGATCTGGTAAGAAATATTCATCAGCAAAGGTCGAATAAATCTCAATTTTATTTTATTTAAATTTCATTGCTTTTTTATTTATTATTTCTTATTATTTATACCTTGGCCAATACAAACGTTTAGTTGGTTTCTTTTACCCCACTCACATGTAAGCTTTTATAGAAGTTCCATTAAAAAATCGGTGAATTTAACTTAAAAATAACAATACATCTTACAAAACATTAAAATAACGAATTTCTAAAAATTATATTCAGGTATCATAAACTAAATACAAAGGCTCAAAACCAAAAAAAAACTACCAACGAAAAAAATACTTTTGGTATGAATATTGATACATTTCTGTTTATCTCCTGATGCTTGTTATCGTACGATTGAAGGTGATGACTGCTTATAAATCCTTTGTCCTCTACTTTAAAATAGTATCGCTTAAAATTCTATTCTTTACTTGTTTTTGAGATAATGATGGTGGACCTGTTTACCCGCTTTACCCTATATAAATTTGCCTTACAAAATTCAACAGGATGAATAATCTAAATAATACAAATACAGATAATTTATTAAAATTTTGTAAAATTATTTCTTACGTAATGCCAGTGTCAAATCAGACGGTGAATACACTTTCAGCACATTCGCTGGAATGGACGTGGGCACATGCATTTTGGATAATTTTATTTTCACAGAATACAATTGCAAAAATATATAAAATGCATTTGATTTTAAATTTGGACCTTTAAACTAAAATAAACATGTAAAACTAATTTTATAAAATTTAGACCTTACATGTGATTTTTGTTTTAAAAACAATCCGTAAAAAACGAAAAATTTGAAGGACACTAGATAAAATTTCAACATTAATTGTAATATATTTTAGTTTTAGTTTGTATTAATATTTATTTATTGGTACGTTATGGAAGTCGTATGAATCAGAACGTAAAATAAAAAATCTCGATGCAATATCAAGGATGATGTAAATAAAATTGCATATGTTTAGATTCTATTTGTCTAGACTTAAAATGTTACTATATTTGATTACAAACGTTTATTGTTCAGAAGAATAATCCATTTTTAATAAATTGATAGAGGAAATACAGACAAAATGGTATATATGGACAAAATCACTAAGTGGTCTTATTTAAAAATTGGCTAGCATAACATACAGAAAGCCATAATAACAATGATGTCAGATGTTGAGCGTCATTGTCACAGTCTTGCGGTAATAATTTCAAACGTATATCCCGTCTTAAAAAGTTTATTTTGGGGTTGTTTTTCTCATGTTTTTGGGCACCTATTTATTGATATTCATAGATATTTTAATAAAAATCAATTAACTTCTTAATGAAAAATAAATTAATTTATGAGTGATTAAAAGTATTCCGAGTGGATTTATTACACATAATTGAAAACGAACGAACACGATAACCGAATTTTCTAAAAGCAAATTTCCACAAATCAATAATTTTTATAATTAAACCCTCAGCATGTTTATTAAGACCAAATACTCTATCGTTATACCAAGAAAATCGACTAATTTTAATTTTAACAAACGTCAAAAAAACTACTCATTTTCTCAAACTTCGATGGATTTTTAAAATTAAACTACCTGTCGTAAGGCTGTAATATTTCAGTAAGTTCTATAAGACCATGATATATAACGCGAAAAAAGTTCCATAAAAATCGGCCTAAATTTTTTCTCAACAGTTAATTACAAGAAAACGGCTCGGTAGATTTCCATCTAAAACTAATCAGTATCAATCCAAACTGATATCTTTCGAACAGTTTTTGATGTTTTAAAATCTATTCGGTAGTATGAGCTTAAATGTGAACGAAAAGTGTAACACTTTTTTTCCAAATGACAAAAAAACGGCTCGGTCGATCGTTGCACAAAACTGACGAACGATAGTTCTCATCGAGATACATCAAATGGCTTTTAAATTTCTGAAATCGGTGCAGGCGTTTTTGAGCAATTGTCGAAGATTTCGTTTAATTTTGACAAATGCCAAAAAATCTTATATTTCAATTAATAACACAATTTTCTAATAATTATATCATTTTTATTTTTATTAACGTATAATCTGGTTTTAAATCGTTTATAATTAACTGTAATCTGATATATATATTTTACAACAAATTTTATGAATCAAACGCCGATTCTCGTACAAAAATTATCGTATTTTTACATTCGGCAATTAACGATCTATTTGTTGGAATAAACAATTTCTAGTAGTAAATTGCTTGGTGTTATTTTAAAAATTTATTGACTAGAAATACAACAATAATTCCACTTTGTGAAATGTGCGAATGAACGTGATAATTAATTTCAGTCTTATTACATAAACAAACACATTCAGTTATTCCCAAATTTAAGACTAATTTGCAGATTACATATCACTATATATCTAACATAAAATGTAACAAAATTTTATTACGCATTTAAATGCATATAATGCACAGCTACTCTTTAACATCGGCTCGTTAAAATATTTTATATTATTAACACCTACGAAACATATTTTGGTAAGCTAAAATTCAAGTTATTAATAACATATAAACACTTGGGAACTAAAAATCTTAGTTTCTAATAAAACCAAACAGACAAGGATAAATATTTCGTATCTTGCAAATATGAGGTATGTGCTTTTCTTATTACTATTTACGCACTACATTTTCGACACCAAATTATTACTGTTGTAGTAAATTTTTTGGGACACATTCATAAATTTACATACGTCTGTTAATTATACAATATAGAATCCAACAAAATATTGACAAAACTTTTGATATACCACATTCTCTACAAAATTAGCGATAAGTATAATAATAAAACTTAACAAATACATATAGTAAACATTATTGAGATATCTCTTCAAATACATCATGTAAAAAATTAAGACTAGGCAGAATAGAAAGTTCTGAACATTTTTAGGTAATTCACAATGCAATCCGTAAGATTATCGGATTTAGATTGCATTGCACAAATTGTATGATCGCATCATATTATTAACGCCAAGGTTATTAAATTCTTGACTTTAAATTACGTCATTATGTTATCGTTAAATAATTGAAATAAATTTTTACCTATTGGGTTGGAATATGGAATACAGTATCCTGACTACCCTGATTGACACACAGAATCCCCAAGCAACTAATTTGATGCTCTCTCCATATATTTGTTTAAAAACATCCTGCTTAGCAATTTTTCAAACTAACTTTCATCCTAATAATATATAAAAATAAATGAAAATGAAGAAAATATACGTATTTCTGCCATATTGCTATATTCCTCTAATATATATTATTTATAACCATTTATGGCAAATACTCAGTTGCGATTGATTGAAACTTTTAATAAACAGCATTCAAACCAATAAAGTAGAACTCATTAAAATGTTCTTGCAAAATTCGATATTTAATATTTGGAGATAAAAATTATAACTAAATTATAATCACAACCTATGGTTTTTTCCTCGAAATAGGATGTCTGATTCACATCCCAGAGATTCTCAGATCGAGTCCTGGCACTGTCATAGAATCTGAATGGTTGAGTCAAAATTAAATAGAATTTGAATTGTTAAGTTCTAATGAATAGAATTAGCAGTAAGATGAGAAGCAAAAATTAGAGAATTAGAAGATAAGACTTTAAAGAAAGGAAGAAATAAGAAACCTGTAATATAAATAAATAATTCATGAATCAGAATTGCGAAATGCCTCTGTGACTAGATATAATAAAATGTTTTAAATAAATATTTGATGACTTTTTTGAGTCTATATAATATTCAAAATTATTCTAAATAAGCGCGTCCTCCAACATACCATTATCTTAACCTAATGTAAAACAAATATATAAGGGCCGATAGAAATAATGGATGGATTTTCAAGAACTATAAATATTAATGATTGCAATAACCAAAATGTTGTGAATCGCTAAATGATTGCAATATATAAAAGTTTATATATGAAATATATAATATGTAGTTTATTTGTGAAAAATAATATAATATCTTCCATATGGTTGTCCTTTGTTTACGATATACAGGCTCAAGACGGTATTCTAGTGTAAAAGTTAAAAATAATAGTTTTTTGCGTTTTTTCCACATTTTCAAAGATTAACTATTCAAGAATATGTGTACGAGAGAAATTTTAAAAATTTAGATTATTTGCAGAGATACAGCTGTTTTATCAGAATAATCCTATTCTGTTTCCTTTCTTTTACAAAACCTTAAACGCGTTTTTCAAATCTGACTTTTTTAATATCATGTCCACAATTTTTCGAGTTCTACTGGGCCGATTTACTTGAAATTTTCAGAGAATCTTCTTTATAGACTTTTCTCAGGTATATACTAGCCTCATCCCGAAATTTTAATTTTTACTATTTTCAAAAAGTTTGAGTGATAAAAAGTTCGAGAATTTTTTTGTCTTTTTTTCAAACAGTCGCCATTTTGTCAAACAGTTTCTTTTAACTTAACCCTTTCCACTTGGAAATTGCGAGATTTATATGTATTTTGTATTGGAAAGGGATAATCCTAGTATATGCCAATGCGACATCATTCTAGATTAATAATTTTGTTATTTTTTCAATTCGGATTACTAGAGGGTTGCAATAGTGGACACGGTCAGGTGCCAATATTTTGTGATCAACAACAGCTAATTTTTTAAATTATTCTTTTTTTTTTACTTTTTTGCTGTACTCTGGTAACGTTAATAAACAAATTATAAAACAATAATAATAAATAGATTTATTGCCTTTTTTAAAAATGACCTAAAATTCATGCCTCTACACTAGAATACTCCCTTAAGCAAGCGACCAGTGAAGTTTTTCATATTACGTGTTGTCATTTCAGGTGGTACCTTTGCAACTTCTCCTCTGATTGCTTTTTGTGAATGAATGACCCATAGAAAAAAATCGAATGGTCTTACATCGTGCGAGAGCTCCTGCCGGAAAACATCTGATTCAACTTGATTAGTGCAAAGTGGCCCTCGCCTTGTTGAAACCATATCGTATCATTGGGTTGCTCCAATTTAGGATGCACTAACAATAAGATCTATAACATGTGAACATAACGAGCGGATGTCACAGCATCAGCGGTAGTATTCTCTTCAAAGAAGTTTGGCTTCCATACTCAAAAATGTCAATCTTCAAGGAATGACCTGACACGCATTACCACGTCGTTTAAAATAATAGTTACTCAAACTGTATTAATTAGTGTACTCACAAAACCCCAATACATTTTACCCTCACCCATATAAAAACAATGGTCGTCGGAAATCCATCCACTATTTCTGCCGGACCCTATATTTAAAGGTAAACAAAAATATTTAAGCGTCAGCGAACATAACAGTATGATAACGCGATCATTCATTTTATCTTGTAGAAAACGCTCAAAACTTTTTACATGCCCCAGTATAAATTACCTAACACTTAATTTAATCAATATTTTTCAAAACTGTAATTATGTTATATTTTTTCAAAAATACTTTATTGCTTGGTAGTCTTTCGAAATTCACTTTTTATGAAACACGTTGATGATCCAATGACTTCGACACTCGAGTATTTATAGTTCAAGTTCTGAATTATTTGGTGATGTGTATATATATGTATATATGTATATATATATATATATATATTTTTTTTTTTAGACGATCACACTGGCGTCGTCTTC